CCCTGGAAGGAATATAGAAGAACCTTAAAAGGAAGGGAATGGTGGAGGTAGGGTTGTAGTAATGGAAATGCGCAGTTCATTCTTGGACTTTGGAGTAGATCAGTTTCTCACATAAGAGGATTATTATCAAGGCCAGACTCAAGGGTGTTGATTGCTAGACTGGGGATTCTCTATATGCAGGTGATGGAGACTCATTGAATATTTTTGAGCAAGGCATTGATATGATTAAAAAAATCTTCTTAGGAAGATTAAGCTAGTCATGGAAGGCAGGATAGATTGGTACATAGAAGAGATGGGAAGTAAAGACACCAACTTATGGAGGTTGATTTTTGAAATCTAGGTGTGAAGTAGTTAGTCCTTAACCTTGAGAATGGTGGTAAAAATGGAAACTTTGGTGCTTTGTTGAAACATGCAGGTCTTCAATCTGCCTTTTGATGTTATTACTACATAAGTACATCTAGATATTTATAGAAAAGAAAAACTATATAACTTAATCTTTTTGTCAAAGTAAGTACAGTATTTCAAGAGATATAAAGCACATTCCTTCTGCTTCTCTCTTCTGATAGCATTCAGCTATTAGCAAGAACAACAAAAACCTCCCAGAAGCTTAACTGTTAATATCCTTTTCAAATGTTTAAAAACCTTAACTCTCAGGTTAAGTACGATTTTAGTTATTGCAAGCAGTAATTTCTAAAGAAATGCAGCAAATGATAAATACAAAGTTGTGCCAAAAGTATATTTTGTTTCCTTAGATTTTGTATTTGTTTTTATATTTTCTTGGTTAATTTTAAAATATGCCTAGCTTAGTAATAATACCTAAAGTCCTTCTAAATATAAAGTTTAAATGGGATTTCATAACTTTTCGAAAATTTGGGCTTTCCAATGATGAAAGTTTCCTAAGTTTACTTAAATGAATTATTCATATCTTATTTAAATAAGTAAAAATTATTTATTCCATATTGTCTAAGTTGAGATACCCAACTTAACACTAAAACAGAACATTTGAAACAGACATTTTTTAGAGAAACTGATTTTGATATTACTTGTAAAAGCTTATCTTTTTTTTCCCTTTGATATCTCTTCCATAGACCAAACACTTAAGATATTTTTTCCTGTCGTGAATAGATAGAAATATGTCCTATTATTTAGGGTATGGGTTAAGCTGCTGTTAGCAAAGAGAACCTCAAATCCTCAATGTTTCAAATAAGAGAAAAGTTTATTCATCTCTCGTTTAACAGTTTAGGGGTAGGCAGATGGTCAAGAGTGAGTTGGCGGCTCTGTTCTACAAGGTCATCCAATAACCCAAGTGTCTTTTGTTTGTCAGCCACCCACTGTGGCTGCATTGTTCAGTACAGTATCTACTAGCCACATGTGGTTATTGATATTTATATTTAAATTAACAAATTAAAAATTCAGTGTCCATACTAGCTATATTTTAGGAGGAAGGTCAGGGACCAAACCATTTTATTGAGGCTTTGGGAGAGGGCAGAAAGGGTGCATCCTCACCCCGGCCAGGATCTGCCCAGCTTCACAGTTGCCAAAAAGCCATACTAGCTACATTTTCAGTCTTCTGTGGCCTCATGTGGCCAGTGGCTGCTGTTTTGGACAGTTCGGATATAGAATACCTCCATGGTCCAGAAAGTTGTATTGGTCGGACCTGCACTAAGAGTAGTTCTTGTCTGCCTGGTCTTCGCTGACTCATGTTGGCCTGTCTAAGTTCTGGTCTACGGAGAATGAGAGGGGCAGGGGAGAGGGGAAGACACAGTTTTGTTATAAATGATCCAAAAGAGTCACATGTCACTTCTGCTTGCAGTCCATTGGCCAAAATTTAGTGATATGCTGATACCCAAGAGCAGGGGAAGAATTGCTAGCTGGATGGAGTATACTCTCCTGAAGCTTGGTTTAGTTGGGGGTGCTGTGGAGGCAAGGATCCCATTACTTAAAAGGAAGAAGGTGAGAATAAATACTAGAGGACTTTTGGCAATCTAGGTTACGTGTACTTGAGGTGTTAATAATCACAATAAGGTTTCTTCCTATCCCCAAATAAAGTAGACAAAAATCAACATGGGTAAAGTTTAATTTTAAATGACCATGCTGAGATTAAGCCGAAGTTATAAATGTTTTTTACAGTTTTATTTGAATTACTTTTTTTTTTTCCTTTTTGCTTGAGGAAGGTTAGCCCTGAGCTAACATCTGTGCCAGTCTTCCTCCACTTTGTTTATGGGACATCACCACAGCATGGCTGGTGAGTGAAGTAGGTCCGTGTCCAGGATCTGAACCCGTGAACCTGGGCTGCTGAAGTGGAGCATGTGGAACTTTAACCACTCAGCCACGGGGCCGGGCCCTGAATTACTTTTTAAAGTCTAACAAAATTAATCTTATGACTATTTTCACTGCAAGGCTGTATTTTGAGCATGACACTGTTTTTCTCTAACGTATTACCTTTCTGTCTTAAACTTTGTGGAAAGATGATAATGTTTTGTTTATGTGATTGCAAACAAAAGACTAGAACTTTTTATTTCTGTCTTATTTTATAGATGTTCAGTAATGATTTTGAACATTTTGATGATAAGCAGCAATGTGAAGTATGAAAAGTACTAGTTGGTGATTTAGTTGTTCCTTCTCTTGCCCCGCCCCTCCTTGCTCTCTCTCTCTCTCTCTGTGCATATGTGTGTATATATATATATAGGGCTTATAATGAAGAGCAGCAGCCCTTTTCCATACCATTTCCTATCCCCAGTTTTGTTCTTAGAGACAAATTCTCTGAACTGTTCATGTTTACAACTTCCATATTTCTAAAGAATATGCCTATATTCAATATTGCTTGATTTATCAGTTTTAGGAATTATATACTGATTAATTACTATAATAAAAAAGGATTTAGCACACATACTACTTTTCCTCTCTCTTCACTATTCTTTTATTCTTCTGTTAGCTTTAATATTTCTTAAACTCCTTTCATGTCTGTTCAGTTAAAGATGGTATCTCTTACTCTAAAGTTAGCAATTACAAATTTTAGTGTTCCTAATCTTCCCTTCTATCGTTCCCCTTTCTACTTCCCAATTTTTGTCATCTCTTCCTTTTAAATTGCAGTGGTCAAATATATTTACATTAGTTTCTGTAACTGTAAGTGTCTTTTAGCTTTGTCTGTTGCTAGATTCTAAAAACTGTAATTAGTAAGCAGTTTAATTTTTTATGACTACATAAATATTTCTCACTGAAAACTAATATTAGAGCAATTATAGTTTTTAACATAGCTTTATTGCATAATTTAGTTTAAAATTTCCTCTTCTCTTTTTTCTTGTATATTTTAAAAATTTCCTTAATTTCTCCCCATATGTAAGTCAGACCTTCTAGTCTACAGACCTTTTCTTTTGCCTCCTGTTTCCCTCCTGGAGCCTTCTTTCTCTCTCCTCTAATCTGTTTTGTCAGCCAGTGCTCTTCTACCCACTTACCATTTTTATAAAATTTGTTGAAAATTTGCTTTAGTTAATCTGTTCCTTCTTGTTCTTTTTGTAACTGTGGGTTTATGCATGCCTTTTTAAAATTCTTTTTTTTTGTTTTGGTAGAGAGAGGATATAAATGCATGTGCTCGTTTCAGCATCTTAAATCTGAAGTGTAAATGTTTTCAAAGAGTCAGATGCCTACATATCTGAACCTTAGAGTCATATTGGTAAAATGTGATAAAATCTCATGTTCTAAATTTTTTGAGATGTTTACAGATATAGCTGAAAGAAAATGATGATTAACTATATATATAAAATCATTGATATTTTTATGTATTCTTCTAGTGTAATTTTACTTTCATTTCTTTTCTAAGACTCTAGACTTTTTATAGATTCTGATAAAAGTTCTTCTGTTGATAAAGATTGTTTTGGTTTTACTTTTTATTCTATTATCGAAGAGATATATCTTCTTCAGCTTTAGATCTCTGTTTTTCATTACAGTGTTCCACAACTTTATTGCCCAGCATTTCTTGAAACTGACCCATTTTACCCTTATACCTGGCCAGTGACTAAATGGCATATGGTGATGTTAAAAAAATGTTTCCTAGGTTAGGAGGCTAATGTCAGCTCTGAACTCTAATGGGTCTTACCATCAGTCTGGTTGATAAGTTGTGCAGTGCTCTTAGGCTACTTTTTATCTTTACAAGAGAATAGTATTGTAAAAATGTCAAAAAATATCCACTTGCCCTGTTCACTAGTAAATATACTGCTGAATTTGAACCTTTTTGGCAGTAGCTTATGCTACCCAAGGGACCATATTTTTACAGAATGATATATTTCAAAGGGTGTATTGGTTTCCACTGTAGAAAATTCATGCATTTAGAACAACTTAAAGCCAAACAATTGTGCTTGTGCTATATGTTTAAAATATTAGTCATCTAGAATACATGCCCAGGTTAAGTGTCAGAAGCTGTATGTCTCACAAAAAGAAAATTTATTGTTAGGAGACCAGCCTGTACCTGTGCTTATACAGCATTTTCCTTAGAGGATCAATTTGAGTATATGAACTAATATCAGCCAGATTTTTGTGCAGTAACATTATTGATAATAACGGAAGTTCATTGAGGAGAAAAACAAATAAAGGAAGCATAAAAGTCTCATACTGTATGAAACTACAGAAATGGATCAAAGAGTTTGACAGGAAGTTTAATGTGTACAGAAGTGGAGGCTGACAGGAACATGCTGTGTGTGCCAAAGGTTCCAGTGATGGAAAACCGAAACATAGTGCTCACTGACCACAGCATGAGCCTTGACACACATTGTAAATAATCCAGAGATCTATGACTGCATTAAGCACTGGGCTGTATTAACGGCAGTAAATCTATAGCAGCGTAAAGGGCTGGCATGCGGAAATTCCTCTGATTAATTTTTGTAATGGATTAATAAGAATATAGCAAATATTTTCATTTCAAATCCTACCATCCTCCAACCTTCCCCTCCCCCCACTACTAGCCTCCCCAGTGTGATCATTTTTCATTCCCTTCTACTCACCAGACTTGTATATGTGGATACTAGCTTCAGTACCATCAAGTTAAAAGCCGAAGATGCTTCTGGTAGAGAGCATCTAATCACTCTCAAGTTGAAGGCAAAGGTATGTGCTTCATTAAACTGTTATTGTGGTCAGGAAATACTTTGTGAAGTGAACTCTGTGAGTGTTTTCAATATGAAGAAGTGCTAGTTGCTTTTAAAAAAATATATATGGTACTTTAAAAAATTTATTTTGGAAAGCCTCAAAGAATTTATTCACCAGGTTTCCAAAAGCCTAGATATAATTTCATGTCACTGTTTTTATTCAGATTTGATCAAAATATAGACTTCATAATAAAGAAATATTTCAAATAAGATTTGGCAGCCTTGAAGTACCGTAATGTTATTTTTGTAACATCCTATGCAGAAAAAAGTTGGAAGTTTCCACTTTCCCAAGTAAAGTTCTGCTGAAGAAGTCTTTTGTCCTCAACTCTTACTATGAATTACCTTTGTAGTTCTTATTTCTGACCCCTCTACAACACAGACACACATGTATGCATACTTTTTATTGTTTGTTTTGTCTGAATTTTGTTTTTCCTTCTGTATTTTAAGAATTTGCGAAGGTTATGCCTCTATTTATAAAGTTCTTACAGGCTAGTGATCTATAACTACTCATTAATTTTATCGGCACAAAATGTAGCTGTTTCATCTTTATTTTATAGTTCTAGATTGTGAATTTTGAGAAATATGTAGAATAAGGAAGTTCAGCATATTAATCTTAGTAATCTCTAAGTTTACTTAGTAATCTCTAAGGAAACATTAGAATTTGAGAAGACCAGGACATCTTCCTTTTTTTCATTGTTCTTTGGAGTTATCAATCAACTCTATTTCAGAAGATTGTAGTGATGAAAAGATCAATTGTGTTTGTCCTTTTTAAAAATGTGTCTGGCATTTAAGCTTTCCATGAGAGAAAATTAATATATAAAGCTGCACTGGGTGACACAGAAAAGTTGATATCTTATAGTGCCTCTGTATCAGACAAGTTGAGAAATGATTCATTCCCTCTTCTCACACACAGAATGTTTAGGTATAATTTTAAGACTTGTAAGTGATAAGTGTTGAGAAAAAATTAGTGGGATAGAGATTTTATTTGTGAAAGAAGTTACATGGATATTTTTGTTAAAATGAAAAATTTTCATTTTCCTTTTTAATTTTTAAAGGTGTGCTTTTTTTAAGATTGGGGAGAAATCTGCCTTTATCCTTCCAAAGGTCATACACTGCCAGTGGCAAGGATTCTGTCATTTCCTTCAAAGTTTTATTTGTTTATATTTTGTACATTGATAGAAGTTGCTTTGCTGCTATGAAGACCAAAATGAAAAATTTTAAATACATCCTGTCCTGATTCTGGATGTTTTTTTAAATAATAACTTCAGTTTTACAAACTTTTCTACTTACTAAGGAGATAATGCTTTGAGTCTACACTGCCTTATAACTACACCTACAAGATTTTATTATTAATTCCCATTAATGACGTTATTGGTAATACTGAGAGTGAGGATGTAACCACTAGTGTGGTCCATTCTGTCTGCTTTTTTGTATTCTTTTTCAAGGTAGATAAGGTGATACTTTTAATATTTCTTTGGAGAATATATGTTAATATATAATGCAAAATCTTAATCCAAACAAAATTTTAAAGGGTTGGGCTGATTTTTGTTAACCAACCTTAAAGCAGGCTCATTTTGTGAATACACAAACCTTTGTTTCTTTTATTTGACTTTTCCGATATATAGTAAAGAAATGCATTTATTTTATTTTTATTCTTGAATACATACTTTCCCACTTCTGCCACTCCCCCTCACTGTCTCCAAAAATCCACAAAAAAAACAATACCCATTTTGACTAGACACCTCCTGTTACAAGTAAATGTTAAATGAAGAAGAAATATAATAAGGGAGACAGTTGAGTTTTATTTTTATAGGTGTATTTTTATGCAATATTTACAATACACCCTGAACTGTGGGATGGAATTATTATCTTTTCTTTAAAAAAGAAGTAGCCCAGAGCTTCCTTTCTTGGCCAAGATCAGAACTACTTGAAAAACAAATCACAGATGTGTTTCAGAGGCTTGCCACTCTTTATCTGATGGCTGCTTTTGTAATTTGCTGCAATTTATGTGTATTCACTTGGTGGGGGCCTAACTGCTTAGATGGTCCAATAACTGAACTGGATAGGTTAAAATTTTCCTTAAACAATATACTTTAGAGTCTAAAAAATATTGTATGTGATAAAAATATGTACTTAATATTATAGAATAGTTGTATTCTTTTATAGTTATTCATTTGATTGAATTGTTTCAAGTGAGATTTGAAAAACTATATTTCAATTAAAAATAATTACTTTTCAATTAATAGTCTTTTATGTGGAGCTTTTGTTATTGTTGTCAATTAGACTTCTAAAGTAAAACTTTTGGCAATTAGTCTCTGATGGTTCTATATATGCCTATTCAACTTACTATTGAAAACTATCTGAATTTTAATAAAGTTATTTTACAATATTATATTTATTCTCTTGTGTTGTAGTTAGCACTACAATACAAACGATCCTGAAACTGATTATTGAGGATGCTACTTCATAATTCATGTTAAATCATCCAGAAGTATATAAATTTGTGCTTTTTAGATTCTTTACAGTTATGTAAAGTTTGTTATATAAACAGAAATGATCCTAAATGTGAGTATAATTAACATGTACAATATATATGAGTTTAACTCATACTAGATATGCAATAAAGCCACCTACATATCAATCAGTCTGATTTATTATATAGTCATGAGGTGCATAACGATGTTTCAGTCAATGATAGACTGTGTGTATGATGATAGTCCCATAAGATTAGTATCATATAGCCTAGGTGTGTAGTAGGCTATACCACTTAGGTTCGTGTAAGTACACTCTGATGTTCATGCAATGACAAAATCGCCCAATGACACATTTCTCAGAACGTATCCCTATCGTTAAGCAGAGCATGACTGTATACATATTTGTATGTTTGCATAATTACACATAAAAATGCATTTGAAAGATGTCACCATCTCAGAAACCATATGGTGGACCCATTAATGTATGTGGGATCATATTATATTTATTATAACCTGCTTTTTTAACTATTTGTGGATCTCTTTCTATATCAGTACATATGTACCATTTACTATACTGAATCCTATTTGAGTGTAGAATCATATTCTCTTTTAACATACTGTGCTGTATGTACTTAATGGCTTCCAAAGTCGTAGATTTTTTCTTTGCTTTATCTATTCTAAATACAGTACACCTTTCATTAACTTTCATACTCTCACCTGCATTGATGATTTGCTTAAGTTAGAGAATTGATATTATTTATTGTCAGCATCAGTAGGAGATAAATAGCAGCAACTCAAAATGAACTAAATATTCCATTTTTGACCCATGGAGGTTTCAGATATGTATTATTATTTTAGAGAGAAAAGACGTTTTATGACACTTTCAGTTGAGTTCCATAATTTTTACGTATAAAACAACCAGAGAAGTTAAATGACTTGTCCAAGATCCCACAAGTTAGTAAGCAGAGCTCGAAACCAGAGAAGCTAAGGTCTCTGCCTGTATTTACTTTGAGGTAATCACGTGACTTGTAAAAATGGTGTACAAATTGTTTTTCCAGTGATTCTAGCAGTTATACTCTGAAGTACATTTTCTGCTCTTTTGAATTGTCTGAAATAGAGTTTCCTCCTTAATCTCAGCCTGACCTTTTACTTTCTTTTTTTCTCCAACTAGACATTAATTCTTTTCAAAGCATTAACTTGAAATGAACTGATGTTTGTTAAATGCTATAATGGTCATTTTTTTGTCCCCTTTTGCTTATTCAGCAAAGTAGTGAAAAATAAGAGGCTGAGAGAAGTGAAAGTTTGAAGCATTTTGAACATTTGTCAAATGATAAAAAGGAGTTTTCTGGAAGCTAATTTTCTTTTAATAAATTTAGTTTTTTAATGGAAAGAAATGAGTATTTTTTAATTACATGTGACTTTCAGGAATCCAGAATTGAATTTGAAAGAAATCATGTAGTACAATTCTCTAATAACAGAATTCATTTTAAGAAAAACTACCTTTTGTCTTTGTTAACTTAGAAACCCGTCCTTATGTCCAAAAGTCCTTATGGCTATCATTTTTTTTATAAAACTGTTGAAGAATTAATTCTCTATTTATCAACCATGAAAAGATTTTTCTTGCCTGAAACTGTTTCTTTTGTTTTTCCTTAATAAGCCAGAAGGCATTTCATTGTTTTTTAAAAAATTTATCTTCTTGCTAAAAGTGGTTACTTTATTGTCGAAAATACTTTTTTAAATTGATAGTTATATGTCTTCATTTTTGTGCATTTCTTGATTCTTTGAACGGATACTGCCTCTTTAAACAGTGACTGAGTCTATGTGAGATTAAATTTTAGACTGAAAGGAAATTAAATATCAACCAGTTTGATCTCTCATTTTAAAGATAGAGAAACAGAGATCCAGTGGTGTTCACCCCTCAAATCACATTAGCAGCTGAACTGACGCTGACTTAATTCATTACTCAAAACTGATTGCTTTGGCATCCCCAAATCACCAAACTTTGTTTGTCCTGAGCATAACTTGACTGTTAATCAGCCCTTGGCATCTCTATAATAGTAGAAGCAAAACATTTATATATAATACATCTGCATTTATAATAATGCTTTTTCTAATCAGTTTTTCTAAAATACTTCATGTGAATTGTCACACAGCGGCAAAAATGACCTAATTTTATGCTTTTTCATAGTACCCTGCAGAATCACCAGATTGTTTTGTGGATCTTCCTGTTTCATTTTCTGTTTCCTGGACGCCACAGGTAAATTCTTAAATTTATTTTAAATAGCTAAAAAGGATATTCTTTTTATTCCCAAGTGGCCATTATAGGTTATGAAGTGATTTTTGTTTGGTTTTTTTTTTAGTTTTCTTTAAGCTTTTATTTATAAACAGGACTTCTAGAGTATTTCTTTTATGTTGCTGGTAGTTAATGTCCATTTTCTGTCTCTCCACATACACACACACAAACACAGACGTGCACATACACCATTCAGCCTTTAGATCTTTATACTTCATTTTGGATAAACATGAAGAAGCTCTATTGACAGAAAATTTTCTTTAAAATTAAATTCTAAAGAACTCTTTATAAGTAAGTGGAAAATTGGGTGAAATTTTTCAGATTGCTAAAACATTTAACATTGATCACATAATATCAGAGAATCTTTTTCAGAAGGGAATGAGCTATGACTGAAAGTATAAACTCTGCCATTTCCGCTGAGTTTTTCTTTTAAAGTGTTTGTCATTAGTTCATTCTTTTTTGTTTTTGAGGAAGACTGGCCTTGAGCTAACATCTGCTGCCAATCCTCCTCTTTTTGCTGAGGAAGACTGGCCCTGAGCATCTGTCCCCATCTTCCTCTACTTTATATGTGGGACGCCTACCACAGCATGGCTTGCCAAGTGGTGCCATGTCCGCACCTGGGATCCCAACTGGCGAACCCTGGGCTGCCGAAGCTGAACGTGCGAACTTAACCACTGTGCCACTGGGCCAGCCCCTTAGTTCATTGTTGAACTCAGACTATATTCTTTTTGTATGTGTTTTGGGATATTCATACTTTTGAGTAAAGAATATAGCAGATTTGTGGGCTGGCCCCCGGCCTACTGGTTAAGTTCAGTGTACTCTGCTTTGGATGGTTAGCCTCTATTTAGAGAGTATTTGTCAACCATCACCATGAATTTTTTTTCTCTTTGCATAAGACAGAAATAGTCTCTCCATTTTGCTATCAACTGCCACAATTTAACTTGGTGAAAGAAGGACCATGACCGTCATCATTAGATTGTTCTTTGAAGCTAACCACCATTCTGCCACTTTGTTAAAAATCACACAGACATAATGTTGATGATGGTACTATTGATAATTATACTACCTTATATCTATATAATAATGTTAGAGTTTACAATGCACTTCTAAATATATTATCTTGTTAGATATTGCCAATGTATTGAGAAATTAAATTGATAGGTGAAGGAAAAAAAGTCTGCTATATTATTCTTTATTTTTGCTGGGGAAGATTTGCCCTGAGCTAACATCTGTGCCAATCTTCCTCTATTATGTATGTGGATCACAACCATAGCGTGCTGCCAACGAGTGGTGTGTAGGTCTGTGCCTGGGATCCAAACCTGCAAAACCCAGGCCACTGAAGTGGAGCATGCAAACTTAACCACTACGCCACTGGGCCAGCCCTATATAAACTCTATCTTTATGTTTCATGTGAGATCATGAAATAAGATTGTACCTAGATTGTATTACTCTTTCCAGATGTGCTATCTCTAAATTACACTCTAATGTTTATCAAAATTCCAAGGTTAAAGAATATATTTTTGATGAGTTTCTTAATGTTTTTAATATAGATAACCATACAAGTTTTTCCTAGACTTTAATCTGTGAAAAAGTTTGCTTTGCCACAAAAAGACTGTTTAGCACTTACCTTATTCTGCCATTTAGCAAAATTAGTTTGTGACTCCACTACACTGGAGAATCTTTGAAGGCAATTTCTTTTAAATTTTGTATACCTACTTAACACCAGCTCAGTTTCTTGCACATATAAGCATGGAATAAGTGTTTATGATATTAATTCAAATTCAAGTTTTAGATTTAATTGGGTCATACAAGAAGCTTTCTGTTTTGTACTAGTTACAAGAAAACAGAATTAATTAGTAGTAACTGGAATGTCATAAATTCTTTTTTTAAATAAAAGAATATACTGAAATTCTTAGTTGAAGTGCAGATAGAAATTTGGATACCTTTTTATCCACAACTCAAATTTGACAGATGTTAATGTTTTGCCACAGTTGCTTCAGTTATGCCTCCCTATTTATGTCTCTCTCAGGAATAAAATATTTCAGGAACAAGCAAGACTTTACTCCTCTTTTCCCTCTCTTCTTTCCTCCTTCTTTCCTCTACTCCCTTTCTAGAAATTGATGTTTATGCTATCCATGCATATTTTTTTGCTGCATTTGTTTACACCATATTCTGTAACATTTGCAGTCTGACTTTTGTACAACATTGTTTCTGAGATTCACCTATGGTCTATGCATGTCTACTATATTTATTTTAAATGCTTTATATCATCCCATTATATGAATGCACCAGATAATTTATCCGTTGCCTTGCTGATAGGGTTTTTCACAATTTCTTACTTAAACAGTGCTGCAGTGACCATCCTTACATGTTTCCTTGTACGCATGTGAGTCTCTTGGTGTGAGTTATGCCTAGAAGTGAAAATGCTGAATTGTAGGGAGTGCACCTCTCTGAGATTACTAATTGCCTTCCCAAATTGGTTGTATAAGTTCATACTGCTATCAAGCAATGCATAGTAATTCCTACTTTCCCAAATCCTTTCCAAGTCTTAGTCTGTGCTTAATTCTTATCAAGAATTGATAATCATTATTATTGTGTCTGTAATCTTTGCCTATTTAAAATTTTTCTTTCATTATATGCATTCCTTATATATTTTAGATATGAATTCTTGTTGATTATGTGGGATGTAAGTATCTTCTCCCTGGGGCATGTCTTTTAACTTTGTTTATGATATATTTTGTCAATCAGAAGTAACTTTCAATATGGTCACATTTATCAATTTCTTCCTTGTGATTTCTGCTTTTTGTGTCTTGAATGAGAAAATCTTCCGTATCTTGCTCTGAAAAGATGTTCTCCTATAGGTTGTTCTAAAAGTTATAGTTTTAATTTAAGTATTTAAGTATGAGATAGGAATCTATATTTACACTTGCCTATTTTATGTGTATGCACACACACACATATACATACTCATAGAATTTGGATGTGTCTTCATTTGTGGAGGTCTGGGGGTGATTTCAGTAATTCTCTTACATATGCCATTAAAATTTAGAAATTTTTCAAAATATATTGTTTACTTATAGTTTTAGAGTCTAGCTGTACATCATGAGCATTTTGGTGATGCTACTGGCGGTATGAATCCTTTGAGTCTTAGATGTGATAAGAGTTTGGCAATATTAGTTTGTGTTTTGAAACTAAGAAGCAGTGTCAGACTTCTTTGTTGTGCTTGATCGTTTTTCATTGACTTCTTGGGAACAATTCCGCTTGTGAAGTGATTATTTCTTTTTAAACAATTTTTAAACAGTTGTAATTCTTAAGCAAAATCAGTATTACTATTGTAGTCTAATAGCAAACTTACATTTAAAAGACTGTAAATAGGTTCCAGATAATTGGCTTTTTTAAAAACAAATTCCTTGTCTGCTTTTGTACATTTCCTCATTGGATTAAGTGTTTCTGGACTTTAAACTTGGAAGATCTTTATTTTCCTTTCTTTTTGTAAGATAATAGGCATGGCTTTGTGGCATCCATATTAAAAATGGGTAATTTTCCTTATGGTCCCTGTCTTCCTGCTGGGTTGATAATGTTTTGATGTATTTTTCTTTTGCTCTGATGAGAGGTCTGCTGCTGCTGCTCTGACATATTCATTTGGATGAATAATTATAACTTGCACAATGTCAAGCTGAAGATGGTAGGGTTTTGTGCGTCATGACAAGCCTAGTAGCCAGTGCAGGTGTCTCACAGCATGATCAGCAACAGCCAGTGTATTCTGGCTCAGAGGAGACATTTAGAGTAGTAAGAAATCAGCACCAAGGGCAAGGCTGCTGCTACTACTGCTGCCATGATATGTGCCAAAGAAACACAAAGTGCTTCTCAAAGACAAGGGGCTGTACACCTCTTTTCAGATAGTTACTTTGTTTGTTTACCCAGTACATTTTCTGTCATAGATTTTTGCTTAGAATGTAAGAGCATCTCATGATTTTTATTTTATTCTACCTCTCAACATCACAAACACTGCAAAATATATCTTTAACAGTCTGCTACCCTTTGGACTTTTACATACAGGTCATATATGTGAATATTCTAATGGGACCGTAGAGTGCCCTAATGTAAGATTTTAAGCACATCGAAGTTAGTGATTCTATAAAAACGAGATTCATTTTCTCCAAATTGCTGACCAACCCAAAATGGACGTTGAAATTGCGATTCTACCTATAAATGTGCCATTAAGTGCAGGCTTGGTGAAGTATCCTTGCAATGGCAGTAGGAATTTTCAGATTTGGTACGATACGGTAAGCACTGGTCTTTATATTTTTTATCATGGAAGTCTCATATTCTTGGAATAATGCCATGAATGTAAGAAGAGCAAAACTAATGATAAAGCCTCTGGCTGGTAATCTGATGGTGAATGAAGAATTTGTAATTAAAGGAAACAGTCCTATTACATAGCAGGGAGCATGATCCATTAGTTAGAGCAGCAGACTAGCAGTTGGGTATCCTAGTTTCTGTTTACAGTTCAGCCGTTGACTTAATTGTATAATTTGAAACGAGTCACATGACTGCCCTTTGCCTCAGTTCATATGTTTGTGGAAATAATAAACTTTTTCTCTTTCACAGAGATGTTAAGAAAAATAAATTTGGTTTAAAAAAAACAGAATGTCAGGGGAAAAAAAGCCCCTCAATGTCCACTCTAATGATCTCCTTTTTTGACCCACTGGATTATCTTTCTTTCCAATTTTCTCTTTGTTATCTTTCTTAGAGAACTCATGGTACTGGATTTTTGTTCACTCTTAAGTTGCTTAGTAAATGCACTTTTGCCTTCTTGGAAATTTTACTGTTGCCACAGTGGTATGAATAAAAATACATAAAAGGGATCGAAACAAGGAAACTTGATCTATTAATGAGATTATGTGATATGGTAGAAAAAGTATCAGTGTGCCCTATTGGATTCAGTAACCTATTAACCACCT